AGTGATTTCAAGAGATTTGCAAAGTAGAATTAAATTTCAAGCAATAAAATTCTAACTGAAATATTCACTGTAATATCAACTAATTTACCTAATCAACTATTTAACTAATTACTAACACAATGAGAGTTTACAAAATCTACTCCCCAAGTTTATGTTTTGCCCAGATGGATATTGTGAGAGGAAGTATCCCATAATTGGAGATGTCTTCCCGGGAAGAAATCTTGCATAAGGTTGCTGCTTTGTGCCATTTTTTGACACAAATGGAAAGCACTCCCATTTTATTTAGATACTAATCCTCAAGTGCAAAAATACATCAAGCAACATTCAGGCACAAAATGCTGATCTGATAAGATATACTGTCATCTGATCTTGCAATATTAAGCTTTACTTAATACTTTTCCCTGGCTTCACGTCCGGTGCATCAATTCACTTTTAACCAACTATGTTTCTAGTACATCTCAAAGTCTTTATATATACTACCCCTCAGAAGTCCAGAATTCTGGAATTCATCATTCTCCAACTTCAGCACATTCAAATACTGTTGTTGTCTATGAAAATGTATAGTCCTGAATATTTATTTCTCATGGTCATATAATCCCTTCTTCGTTCTTTGCTCTATGCAGATATGATCATATAATTTGAGGCCTAGAAAATTGTTATTGGTTTCAGAGATTTCTCTCTTACTATTTAAGAAAAAATAAAATTTCACAGCTGATAACATATTTTTAATGGAATACCTCTTGCTATGTCTTGTCTTAATCTAAGTTAAAATGCAGTAGGTGTTACTGCATAATCTTGTGCCCTATTCCTTTACTTGCAAAGAACTGTCTTATTTAAAAGACCAAGATCACAGTTCTGTGTGACTTTAAAAATAAGTTTAGTTTATCTCCTATCAGTGATGATCTTTCTCAGGGAAAAATCCTTACTGTTGTACATGGAGCTTTATAAATACCTCCTGAACTGTGGGGGTTTTTTAAACGTTGAAAGAGACATTAAGTCAAAATAGAAATTGACCACAAAATGGAAATTGAATTTTAGTGAAGGCAATTGAAAAGAAGATAGAAGGACCTCTGTACAGGAATAATTAGACAATTACAGTGAAATATCATAAATGAACAAACCAAGTGACAAAAAAATCATGTAAAAATGTCAAGCATCAGTGTAAGTTTATTCTAGATTCCTCTTTTATCTCTTAACTGCCTTCATTACTGTTGCCTGGGACATAACATCATGTAACAGAGGATCACAAATTTTTTGCATACTCAACCCTCACAAATCAAGAACAATTCTTGTTACCCCGAAGTTTAGTAAAGAGAGGCCATCTCTGCAACAACAGGTAACACTGCCATGATATTGTGGAGGAGATAAGAACATTTAAGATAAATAAAATTATATGAATTATTCTTTTTCATAAATGAAGGCAATTTAGAATAGGGAAGAACTAATGGACCGTAACAGGTCTGAAATTAGCAGTCATATCACACTGATGCTGTGACTGGTTGTGGTTCAACTAAAACAATGTTACTGAAATACTAGCAGGAGATGTAATTGAAAATCAGTGCTAAAAGAGAAAAGGTATCAAGAAATTTTGATAAGAGAAGAGCATTTTTTCCTACGGCAATAGTTCTCAAACAATTGTGTGGCAACAGTTGACATTAGGCAAGCTGGTACACGAGGAAGTCTTGACACACCATATAGTGTGAGCTCTACTGTCTCTGATTGATGTATCCACTAAGGCAGCTAAAAATATTTTCCTGCTATCGCTTTTCTATGTAAACAGCTGCTGTAATTGATAGTGATGACAGCTAAGTTGGGAAAACATTCATGAAAATTTTCTATTTAACAATTAATCTATGTTGGTGTTAAATACACCTGTTCCTGCTGCTCTAAGTTGGTTTTCTTGGTGGTATGCTGATTGCAGGCACAACTTGAGAGGCTTGAGAAGCTAAGTTCTGCTTCATGTGTATTTTTTGTCCTTTGGAGTTTGTGAGAATAATCACCTTTGACTCATTTCTGTGATTCGGTGAACAACCTGCATTACAATATGCCAGTAGAGACTTTACTTACAAAAGGATACAAAATGTAGTTAAGTAATCAGCATGTATTCATTGTGCTTAGTCCTCTAAGCTTCAGGCTGAAAATAGCTCAAAAATAACAGTATTTTGTAGGAATTCTCCCTCTTTTCAGTGTCTCTATTGCTTTCTGATAATTACCAAAACAGCAAATCTGTTTGTCTGAAATACTGGAAGGATTTATTTTTGCCTGAAACCTTGTTGATGGATGCAATAGGTATCTAAGGTAATCTGCTAGCAACATTTTCTTGTAATATACTATTCCCTCTCTTTTTTTCAGCTAATTTCTCCAGCCTAGTACTTTCTGATATTATTATTAGGCCTTGGGATATTTTACCGGTGCAAAATAATAGCTGCTGGAGAAAGAAAAGCAGGTCAGCTTGCTTCCAGTTGCATTTGAGGGGAGGGGGGCAGAAGCAATGCATTTTCTAGTGCTTTCATCAAAGTGTATTAATTAAAGGTCTCAAATGATATAATTTCTTCTGATTTCCTGAAGAGATTGTTTCAAAGTTAAATATTTTACATGACCACATATTTAGTTTATTTTCTTTCTTTTTATTTTACTTTTTTTTTTTTCTCCTCTCCTGGGCCCTGGTCAGTCTTCATACTCACATGGTCCTCTTAATCTCTTCCTTGCCTTAAGCAGTGAAAGATTTACTTCTTTCAATAACAGTATGTTATTGTCCTAAGCCATCGCTTTTTAATTTCTATTTTAGCTGTAGTATATGTGTCTTTCTTTTTCCAGTTTCTAAAGTAGCTTTCATATTTTGGCTTAATGTCATTTTTTGAATTCTCTTTGAACTGCTAATGACTTATTGTCAAGGTAATAATAGGATTGTATGTGGGATCCCTGCCATGCCACGTATGCAATTACTGTTGTAATCTGCACCTTATATTAAAATCTAAGAGAATTATCTGGCTTCTATTCAACAAAAGAGGTTCATTGCCAGTTCTATTACAAATCTTTCTAAGTATCTTCTTTCTGTTAAATAGCCATTTATATTAGTTCTGTATGGTGGATCAATTCTTACAACACTGTAGAATGCATGGCTAATGGAGTGGGCCTTGTGAAAAGATCATTTGTTCAGGTTTTACAGGGAATCTTGTATGTTCCTTGGTGTGTAAGATATTTTAAAATAAAAGTAACAGTAAATATTAGGAAGCTAGCAGAGAATATTTTCAGGACTCATGAAATTTTTCTGATAATATAATCACTAAAGACTTTGTAACTGCGATTTCTGAGTGTAATTGTTAGAGGTTAGAATCAAGCATTTATTTTAAAGTTATTGTACCTAACAACCTTATTTTTCTAATTATCAGTCTTCATGGTACGTTCAAAACACTGATAAATACTTGCTCCATATGGTACAAGTACATACCATATGTATGGTATTCCATACATACTCAAAGTTGTATCCCATCAATTAATGATAGTTTTACATTACATGATAATCACCACAATGAGATTTTTTTTTCCTCATTTTGATACAAGCCAAGCAATGTGAACTTCCATACATGCCTCACTTCAAGTACTATTCAGTTCCACTGATTTTCTTGTTTTATTCATATTTGACAAGTACTTTTACTCTTTATTAGATGGATTTACTTGCATTTTTAAAAATAATTAAATAAATGCAATTGACAAGATAATTGTTGTAGATTCCAGAACAATTATTGTACTTCATTATAAATAAATAAATATTTCCTGGTCCAGTAGCATTTTACAGAAATAGTTGTGTCTGGTTCCATGCCAGTTCATGGAAAAATCTATTTTCTTAAGACCATTTTAAAGGAAAAAGGTTCTTAGGCCAAGATTCAGGCTGAGAAAAAAAAATTGAAAAATTATTTGTGGATTTTCTGTGAATTTAAGATGTACTCTTTGGATTGAACTGTGTAGAAGAGTCGACTCTGTACATTTCTGGAATTTAGGGAAGTGCTATAAAGAATTTCTTATTTGTAAAGGAGACCTTTCATGATAACCATGCTAGTCTGTGAATGAAAATTACAAATTCCCTCCTAATGATCCTATTCGTCTTCATAAAACTACAGGTATTAAAGGCAAAGGGAAGATGAGTTGCTTCTAGATTTATAATGTCAAGGAGGGAGACATCTAATGTCATGGAGTAATGGATATAAAAGGTTAATCTGGGTCCAGAAATCCAAGTAGCATAGTAAAAGCAATGATTGCTAACTTCAAGTATTTCAAGAATTATGTATTTCAGAAACTTTTCATAATCTTCATCTTCTTGCAGTGCTCAGTAGAGAAGGCAGCAATCTTCTGTGTATGTTAAAGCGGCTAAAACCACTTCATGGTGAACTACAGAATAATTAATCATACCATGGGATTTGGAGTTTTCAAAGGCATGTTCCTGAACTAGTAATCCATACCTGAAAGAGTTTTCTGTGGTTTTTTTCCCTCTCATAAGCTTGGTTCTTAGTACCCCAAATCTGTACATAAAACAATAGAACTTCTGTTTTCATCTTGCGTATTCTCTGTTTCAAATCCTTTTATAGAACTATTTTTTAATTAAGTTGCATATTGAATTACTTTTTGACACAGGATGATTTTGGATCCTGATTTTTTTCAGGTTAGTTTATATGAACATAAATAGCAGGGCAGCACCGGAGTGAGTGGACACTGACTCGGGACTTTAGATCAGTTTGCTATTTTTCTTAAAAACTCTGACCCTTCTAATATAAACGGAATAAATTTATTTCTGCATTTTGTGTCCTCAGCATATCCGTCTTTATTCCATTCAATCTTCACCAGAGATGTTCACCAGTTGATGCACTTGCTATAAAACGTGAGAATGTAGTAACATCCACCAAAGCAAAAAAGCTCTGATCCCTTTGCTCTGCAATGGGTTGTTGAACTCAAATACTGTAAAAGGTTTCTTTTTTTTCTCTCTAAAAGTAATCATGTTCCTTATAACTGGGAAAAGAAACCAACCTATGTGACAAACAAGCATAACTTCAGAAATTCACTGCAGTCTACAAGTCCAAAATCCCAAAGGGACTCAAAGTGGGCCTGAAGACAGCAGAGGACCAGTGAATTAAGATAGGAAGCATTTTTGTGGTAAGCAGTCATTTCAAGCTTTTCTTTCCATTTTTCATACTCTGGGTTTTACGTTAAAAAAAATTCACAACACATTTTCCACTCAACAGATCTGATTTTAAATGGTTTTACTGCTGTAGTGATGAGATTTAAAAAACAGCCAGTACCAGAATAACAGAGGTGTTTATGCTCTCTGGAAAATTTAAAAAAAAATTATAGTATAAAGGAAAATTGTAATGTCACAATGTTCATATGAAAATAATTTAGGTATGCTTTAGGTCTTTACTGTTTCTATAAAATGCTTATAATTGTTCATCCGTTGTTTCTGCAGTTTAAAGAGCAAAAAATTAATAGAAACTAGAAACATTTGTCTGGGAAAAAAAGCAATGCCTGGAACACTTCCATGTAATTAAATTCAAGACCTGATTTTGATGGAAGATATCACAAGGTAACCACAACAACACTGGCTAATTGGGAATGTGGAGATCAGAGGTGCAACCAAATATCTCTAAGCCTTCAGGGACATGAAAGTGTATGATGTTCACACAACCCTAAAAAATTGAAATTGGGAACTGGCTGAACAGCAGGTCCCAGTGGGTCGTAATCAGTGGCACAGGGCCTAGTTGGAGGCCTGTCACCAGTGTTGTCCCCAAGGTTTAATACTGGCCCAATAGTATACTTTAAACTGCAGAGGAAACTCCATATACTTAGAAGTAAATAGGTTTTTAGCATCATGGAGTGATAATTAGTTTTTCATATAATGTAACCTATAGAAAAATAAGACTTAGATTGAAACTTAGATTTAATCTAAAATTGAAACAACAGTCATAAATACTACCTGACTTCACCAAAATAAAAGTAGCAAGACAGATCTCTAGGACAGATTTCTGACAGGTTCAAAATCTTTTTTTAGCTCAGTTGATTTATTTTTTTTCAGTTCAGGTTGCTGTTAATAGACTCACATCTATGCTACCAATTTTCTCTATTAAGTCCTTCCTTTCATTATTTTTTAATAAAAAGTAGGTTTTAATTAGAAAGTCCATTAGTCAGAGTAGAATAAGAAAAACTTCACAAAACATTTTAAAATTAATCATTTAAAATTTATAACTCAGCTATTGTAACTGTACCTAAAGCTATTTTTATTCTGTGTGTGCAAGGTATAACCTTGTACCTATTACCTTTGTGCACAGTATGTATTTCTTGTTCTCTTAGGAAAACCATTGTAGAAACTTAGCTCTACTTTGACAAATTTTATTTTATTTTATTTTATTTTTAGGTTTAGAACCTTCATCTTTCCCAGCAGAGGGAACCACTTACCTGTTCTGCAATTACTACCTCTCTTAACAGCCCTTACCTGAGAGACTGTTGAATATGCTTTCTCTCCCTCTCTTTTTCAGCTGTGTAACTTAAAATTGTGTCTCTCCTTGGCTCTTAATCTATTAGGAAAAATTGGAAGTTTGTGGAATTTCAAATTACACTTGATTTAGTTTCAGTTGAAGTTTTACTATAGTAGTTGTCCTGAGATGTTATAGTGAAGGTATATAAAATATTAAGCTCAAGCAAATGGAAAAAAGGTAGATCATAGTATGCATGATTTATCCTGTTGCTTATTTTTCTTTCTGTTTTTGATTTGCACTACTGTTGCAGAAAGTTTTATCTCCATCTCCTATATGTTCTCAACCTCTCCACTTTAGCAGCACTATTCTAATATCTAAGATTGTTTACTTCTCTGTTCATCAGTTCTTTTTAAAAAGAATAAAATTACTTACTTCTTAAATTTCACTTTTACCCCAATTATCATCAATGCCAAATCAGTGTCTTTAGCAAAATTCAGGGAATTTCTCTTTATTACAGCCGTGCTTGATATTGTAATCTTAGGCATAAACCTAAAGGCCCATCAAGAAATAAAGATGTTTAACTGGATTGAATAAAGCTATTTATATATGTTTACACCCAACAATAAATTTGGAAGCAAGGAAATTTCAATGGCAAAAGTCATTCAGGGAGAACGTTTCATTTGAGTGAAAATACAGCCATTTGATTGGGGATAAATTAAGAACAAGAGTAGAGTATAAGCAGGTTCAGTCTTTCCCTGTACTGCACCTAACAGAACAATGGTGATGTGGTGGCAATTAATAGTACTTCCCACAACTCATCAAGAAGGAAATAATAACCTAATCTGACCTTTACAAAAGGAACAAGTGGTCAAAGTTTTTGTTACAGTAAAACAGTAAACTAGACAATTGGAGAATTATGTCATGGTAATTATTTAGGTTTTTAATGTGATAAATTTTAATTATCAAGATTATAAAAGTTTCTTTATTTCCATAGAGAAGGTGCAATGTTGAATACCAAAAGATACTCAGCTATACTACTTAATTGGAGATGACTTGGAGTAGAATATTCCTGAAAATTTGAAAAGAAATAAAGAAGCAGATGGAGATTTTTCTCTGCAGAGGTCAGGAGTTCAAAGTAAAAACCTTCTTCAAAAGGTGAGAAAAAGTAGACAGGATTTTCCTTAATTCTCTAACAAGAAGTGGCAGGGAGCCAGAGAGAAAAAGAAGGAATTTTTAGTGATGAGATATAAAAGCAGACTGAAATCAACAACCAGGATGTACACAGCATCAAGTGGCTTTCTTTATGTGTTTTATTTATGTCTTTGTTGTTAAACGGAATTCTAGATTATTTCTGTTTGTGCACAGAAAGGAAACACAGGTAAAAATAGTATTGTACTAGTTGGGAAGATGAGAGGATGTGAAAATGGATGGATAAAAGTGAATTTTACTGTGGATAAAAAACAATAGTCAGGAAGCAGGCTTGGCAACTTCATTGAACATGATGAAGTTATTAGAAAAGGATAAGAAGGAAATCAATGGAAATCAGACAATACCAAAGTAAGTGAGGTTATCAAGCTAAAAAATAACATCAAAGGCATAAAAACCTTACAGAGGTATGTCTGTTCTAGAAGCTGAAATCAGTTAGTAAGGTATTAAAGGGACTAATATTGTAGCTTTTTGCCAGAGTGATAGTTACAAAACATATATTTGTAGGGCAGTGAAAGTGCTAAGACTGCTATTTCCAGTATGGAGAGCAGGAAAACATTACAAATCATATTTTAGCCATCCAGAAACAATATCAATGAGATGGAAGCAATAGAAGGGTGGGAGGAGTAAGTTGATTTTTATTCTCTCTCCTTGTTCTGTGATATTAAGGTGAAATTGTCATTTTACCTGAGCATCACATTACCTACAGAAACATTGTGATAGTCTCTATCTTCATTGTCATCATTTCATAAGGAGCATGATTTTTTTTAAATCCGTTGGTGAGCACATTGCTGCAGCTGTAGCCTTGGTCTGTACCTTTGCACACAGAAACTATGAAAGTGATTCAGCCACTGCTGCAGAACAGAATTGCTTAAACTTTCTCCTAGAGAAATTCCCCAAAAGGACCGAAAGGTTTTAGACTAAAAATAACTTTCTTACATTTCTATTTTGGAATAAAAGACTATTAACTTTCAAAAAAAGTTAAAGCAATGAAGAAACAGAACAGAAATAGTACATTAATGTGCTGCCCATTTCATCCCTGTAGACTGCAACTTACTTTTCTGTTTCAGTTTGATTAACTTGTTACTGAACAGCAGCAAAATTTGATCATTTACCCTCAGCTCCAGAGAAGCTTTTTACTCTGTTTTTGTGGTCTTGCTGCCAGACTCATCCTCTGTGCTTCCTCTTAGCCTCTGCATGAGCTCCAGCCTTCAGGCTGGATCTTGTTTACCAGCTCAGCAATTTTTCCATCCCTGAAGACACTCAGCAGCTCCTGGTGCCATGACTGGCCCTTCCAAAGGGCTCTGTTGGAGCCACCCTTTCCTTAAGGCAAGGACAGACATATGCTTGGGAACACTGACATACAGATTGACCAAAGATGGTCAAGTGAGCATGTACAGTTGTCTACTATGCATTAAAATACTGTATGTTTCTTGATGGATACTTGATGTATTTTAATAGATTTGTTTCTATTTAATTCTTCAGCTGCCTTAAAATCACATTACTTATTGGACAAGGCTTGATTTGAATTACTGGGAGGCCATATTTTATTAATAAAATGTAGCTAGTAAGTGATTCAAATTCATTTTAGCTTCTGGCTAAAGTAGCCCTGATTTCACGGTGGTAGTTTTGCACGCAGTAGCATTGAAATTCTCTTCCTTACTGGAAGCATATTCTACGACATGTATCATAGAATTAAAATTTAGATGTCTGGGCAGGTTTTCTAACGAAGGATTAATACTGTACACTTTTATTTCTTTGGTTTGCTCTTATATTGCATCCTTGCTAGTGCTACCTTGTAAATCTTTTATCAAATGCTATAGTGGTAATCCCCTTCCCACATGTCCTTCACAGTTTTGAGTGCTTTGCTTGTTTTGTGCTCTTGCAGCTTCTCTTCCTACAGATTAAGCCCATTACATAGAAGCAGTGGATAGCAGTACCTGATGATGATGGGAGGACTCAGAAAAAAAGAACATTTTTGTAAAGCTAAGAATCTCAGGCAAGAATGTAATTTCACTGTTGAAAAAACACCAGTACAACAACCCAAACCCACAAAGCAAAACAAACTAAAGAAATGGTAGCCAACTCAGCAAACCAATACTAATCTAGATGGATAAAGAACTAATACTATCTAGACTGAGAACAATAACTTTGCTATAAGTCAATAAACTACATTCTTTTAGTTTTCTCTTTTAAATTTTTGTTTGATGTATTCCTAAAAATGGTTCTCTATAAAAGTTCACTGAGTTGTAAATATTTGGCATAAATTGCTTCCTTTCATGGTTCATCAAAATGGTGTAGTTGAATGGTGAAAAATAAAAAATTTCTGTTGCTTCATGGAATAATCTCCATGTAAAATGGCTGACAGTATAGTTATAGAAAAAAGAAATAGAGGAAAATAAAAACTGAATTGAGTTGTCATTGCTATTAAAAGTGTTGCAGATAATATTTATTGAAAAAATAAAAATATTTCAAAGGGTTATATTTCACTGCATACTAAGATACAGTCCAATGGTAATAAGAGGGACATGAGAGCATGCTCTAATTTTTGTAGAATGAATAATTCCCTAAAACAAGTAGAAATTATAAATCTCTCTCAGCATTATGTTTTGTATCTTGTAGATCAGAAGATTCTCTTTAGTTGGATGACTTCAGTGCTAAAGAAGCTGTAAATAACAACAAAAAAAAAGGAGTCAGGGAGTAGAAGAAAATAATAAATAGGAGAAACTCATCATTTTTCCTTCTAAACCTGAATGAGGGTTCATGTCTATCTAGGAGTCAAGGTGCTCGAGTTCTCATGAGGCAAAAGAGAGTAAATTGCCAGTTGCAGACAATGTGAGTGCAATTTTACAAGAGGTGGGTGAATAGGGGACTCTCTTTGTGATTGATTGCTTTCTAAACCATCGAAAGGGTCTGAAATAGTGCAGCCCAGGGGTACATTTTGCACTTTACACGTTCTGGTTTTGGCCATGTCATTTTCATATAAAATTCATAGTAATGTATGTTCAATGTTTTTGTCAATTTTATTAAACTTTCTATTGAATTTGTCTGGGGTTTTTTTACTTTATTAATTTTCTTTCTCTGAGGGAAGATTTTCTGGAGTATGGTGGTTCTCTGCTCTTATTCCTGACAACAATGGGAAAATTGCAAGTGTTGCCCAAATACTACATTTCACTTACCTGCTTGGATAAGCAGCCGAAGTCTCCAGCCTGCTCCACAGCCTTATAGAATTTCTACAATGTTTGTAAACTTAGAAAATGTATGTTATTGTTTACAAATTCAAATATGAAATGCAGATCACATGCTACATAACACATAATAGTGTTTAAAGAGCTATAATGTTTATTTGTAGAAAATCAAGTGAATGAAATTGAAATAACTTGGAACTAGCTCACTTTCACTTGTTTACTTTCTGCTTCTTCTTGGGCCAACTGTTCCTGGAAGTTTGGAGGATTTAATAAAATTTAAATTGGAGGTACTATACTTGATTAAGCAAAAAAAAAAGTCTATGTTTTCTGTGAACTGGATTCAAAGACAGTTGTGGTAAATACATTTTCACCCAGCTGATCCAACTTTGCACATTGCCTTTTAGCCTGTTCACAGGTTTTTTTCTCTGCAATTAGGCAAGTGTAAAATCCCGAGGACAATTAAAACATTACTATAAAAATAGAACTACAGTTTACACTTCTGCACAATTTTAGACTGCTGCATAATAATTTAGAAGGAAAACTTTTATCATAACAATAATAACACTAATAAATGGGGAGAAATTATCTAACCTGGTTCACAAATTACGATGGGAGACTATCATTAGACTTTACAAAATACTTCTACCATGTTTTATTTAGTTCAATTCTTAAGGAAAATCATAGACAGTGATTTGGAAAAGCTCCCCTCAGCAGTATAAACACAATCAGTTGTCTTCTAAACAGAAATAAGAGCTGTTAAATATGTTGTCAATGTATAATTTGCATTTTAATAGTAAAAGTACTCTGATAAATTACAGTTTTCTGTCCTTTTAAAGTATGTATATAATACTTAAATGTTATATAGTATTATTTCTGGATCACAGGGATTTCCAGTTTTCTCTAATATCATTTGTTATGAGCATTAAAATTGTGCTTCCAGCTCTTGCTGATTAACAGTCATATTTCTTCCTTTCAACAGCTAATGTCACTATGAAAATAAAATTATTTAAAATAAGTATCCCTTTGAAAAGAAAAAAGGAAAGTATTTCACTTTGACGTATAATTTGCTTCTTGCAAATTTTCCTTGATGCATTCTTCATGGAACATGCTGTTCTCTTTCTCTTGGCACAATGCCTAACAGTTTTCTACTACAATATTTCACTCCATAACATAAAATTAAAACATATCTAGAAAATAGAATGCATTCTTCATAATTAAACATTGTCTTTCTCATCCTAGAATTTCTCCCTTCATTCAAATTCATTTATTTGAGATGACTTCTACAGAACCTATTATGGCAGCATAAGATAGTGTAAACAGTACAAGCACAGAGTGAAAGCATTTTACATGGCTACACATGCTGTCCTTTTGCCTGTTTTATTCACACTTAAATTGAAAAAAAAGATAACAGAGTAAAGAATCATTACTTTAGACTTAATGTAAATGAAAATCACCACTTCATCTAGAAAAGGTCAAAGCAGATAAAGTGGTGAATGTTTGGAGGGAGTGAAAGAACAGTTACCTCTCCACAAGGTCTGACGCATCTTTTGTGCTCATTCAGGAGAAACGTGTAAGTGTATTCAAGTTGCTTTTACTCAGAGGGTAACTTTTCTATGAAAGTTTCTTTTGACACAGTTCAAAAAAGGCAGCTTTTTACTTTTCTTTAGCAGTTTGGGATGGGGAAATCATAACTGCTGGTAAAATGTAGTGATCAGCTCCGTGTTCTAAGGTTGAAATGGTTGCTAGCTGCTCAGT